CATCTTGGGTCCTAGAAGGAAGAAGCAGCAGAAAACAATGCTGCCCACCAATGCTCCTCTCCCAGCTTCGGTAGACACTGACAATGAACACCAGATAGCACCAACCCCAAAGGGTACCTCTTCGGAGACCACGGAGGTGAAAGGAGGCAGGCGTTTGGGCAGTGTGGACCCGCACCCTCAGCTGCTCTCCTAACCTCTCTGAGCCTCTGTTCCCAAACTCTGCCAGTGTACAGAATGTAAGAATCCTGGAGAATGGACTGTGCCCTCGAGAAGCTTAAGTCTGGTTGGTAGAGGAAAGACACCCACGTGCAGCTGAGCTCCCAACCCCCCACGTGATCCTACGCAGCTCCCTTCCTTTGCTGGACCTTCCCCCTTTAATGAGGGGCTCGCCCTCACTGGCACAGCTCTAAAGAAACAGCATGCTCTGACGACTCAGAGACCAGCAAACACGTCCAAGGTCAGCGAAAGGGACAGCTCAGTCCCGATGATTGGCAGCTGACACCACCCCTTGCAAACAGTGGGTGCTTAATAAAGCGGTCAAACAGTTATCCATTAGGCACTAGGATACCAGAGAGGAGTCACCGGTTCCTGAAGAAGCCGGCCCAGCGCTGCAGCCCCCAGGTGAAGCAAGTCTGGCTTTCAAGATTTATTTATTTATTTATTTGACAGACAGAGATCACAAGTAGGCAGAGAGGCAGGCAGAGAGAGAGGGAGGAGGAAGCAGGCTCCCCGCTGAGCAGACAGCCCGACGCGGGGCTCGATCCCAGCACCCCGGGACCACGACCCGAGCTGAAGGCAGAGGCTTCAACCCACTGAGCCACCCAGGCGCCCCGCAAGTCTGGCTTTCAAAGCAACACAGCACCTCAGGCTCTCATTCAACAGCCCAACGCTCACTCAGCACCCAGCACAGGGCCTCATCTGGCTGCTCCTCAAAGGGCCTAATGCTCCTTGTGCAGCGCACATCCTGTTCTAGCCTAGAGCCCCGAGAGCCGAGAGAACCTTAATCCCCTTCCTCAACCCTCCTCAAAATGGCCATGCCTATGTGGCTGGCCCTTCCTCCCACAATTCCTTGAATTATGGCCTAGTCTACCTTCATACTGCCAAGAAGGGCTATCTCCCAGCCACTCACACCTTAGTATGAATTTAACCAGCTAACCTCATTGTCCTCCCCAAACTAGACTGAAACCCAAGAACAGAAGGAGAAAGATAGAGGTATTGCCACAGGGAGGGCACGTAAGGACAGCCTGAGGGGAGACTTTAGCTAGTCAAGGGCAGCATCCCAGGCCCTGAGTTAGGCCAGGAATCCAGAGTGTTGAGCTTCTGAAGGCACCCCAAAAGGGGGACTTCTAGGCTTTTGAGACTCTGGGCGTCAGAGTCTTTCGATCTCATAGAAGCCCTGGGTTCTGCCCTTCACGGAGCAATCTTGGTAGAGTCATCTGTTCCCTCCCAGCTTCCGGCTTCCGTTCAGCAGGGATCATGTACCGAGGAGCTCCTCAACAGGTCGGACGAGTGTCCTGTCAACCACTCTGCAGAGAGCGGCAACCAGACCCTCTCCTACCCTGCCACCCACATGTCCTTGCCTGCCCCGGCAATGACAGCACCTCAAAATGCCCACCATCCCCCTGATGTGGCCTCAACAACAGTACAGGAAAGTGAAGCGGAGACCTTGGAGCTGGATAAAAATAGTGTAAGGCAAACAGGAGTGGGCTCCGTCCCGGGACTGCAGACATTCTGCTCGAGAGAGGGGCCGGGCTCTTGGGGACTCAGGGAGTCAGAAGGGGCCGGGGCAGCCGGCCGGCGTGGCCTCGGGGTAGTCTGCACCATCCTGCCCTGTGGTGACAAGGATGGGCGCTGAGCTCTAGGCCTCTCGCCATCCCTGCACCCCATCCCCAGTTCCTAAACAGGGCCAGGCTGTCCCCAGATTCTTTCGATCCTTCTCCCTTGCCCCATCCCCCACCAGGGTGTGTCTCCCGGAGGGAGGCTGGGAGCCCTAGCTGGAACGCCAGGCAGGACCCTCAGGCAGGAGGGCTGGGCAGTCACACCGCTCAGGCTCCCAGCTGGAGCCTGCCACTTACAATTCAGGAATTTGGGCAGCTGGCCCAGCAGAGAGCCTCAGTTTCCCTGGAAGACAGGGGGAATCATACCCATCTCCCTGGGGTGCAGTAAGTCCAGGAGATGGAGAATGACCAGCTCTCAGCAAAGAGCTAAGTAGGGAGTGTTAGTAAGTGTCAGCTGTTGTCAGCAGGGGCGTTATCTGTCCTTGAACATCAAAGACCCTGGCCTGGCCCTACACATTCTGCCCTTCAGCTTTCTGATCTCACCTCCCGTCCTGCCCATGGGCAAGCCCCGCACTCCACCCCAGCCGGAAGAATCCTGCCTCCATCCAGGGAGGAGACCTGTCACCTCTCCAGGGCTTCCCGTCACCCTGCACGGCCTCCCTCCCTGAGCCTGCCTCCAGGATGACAGCTACCACAGCCCCGAACCTAGGAGCTCCCAGGAGGCAGGGGCAGAGCCGACCCACAGGTCCTTTGAATCCCACAGCTCGAGGAAGCTGGAAAAGCTGGCCAGCGAGCCCCCAGAGCCCCCAGAGTGGGAGGAGATGCATGACGTCCCCAGAAGGTGCCTGGGTGACTACATGGGGAACGCTCCACTCACCTCCTGAGACAACCTCGAACTCAGACCAAAGCCAAGCAGACCCCACTTGATCCCTCCACCCCCACACTGGAAACCCAAAACTGCCTCCCCAGTTCCTCAGAATTCCACTGGATGCCAAATTTTCATGCGGGCCTCACCCACAGGAAAGAGCACCAGGGGTGTCTGCTCACTGGCCGTACCACACACCGCTCTGGGATGACTGGGTGGTAATCCCAGACTCTGGGCCCCGGGGCCAAACCTAGCAGCCGCCAGGGTCTCCCGACATGTCCCTCCAGAGGGTGCTCTCTCCTGGTTCTAGCAGGGACTCTGGGGTCTGCTCCGATCCTACCTGAGCCACACACCCAGCCCGCTCTGGGAGGACAGAGAGAGATCCTAAGAGACTATATCCATCAACAGACCCAAACCACGGCCCTCTAAAGCATTTCTGCAAATGGGAGTTTCCACCATTAACAGGGAGAGGGGGCGCAGAGAATGTTGAAACACCTCCCATCCATCTAGACGACCCATGCCAATGCACTCCACCTAAATTAAATACATTATGCGGGCTAGCAGGGGCACAGAATCATGCATTCAGAAACACTGTTAAGCCTCTTGCTTTAAAATTATATGTGGCTTCCATCCACATATGCACAGAAGAAAAAGAATGGATTAAAGTATTAACTTCTTGTGCTCATCTGATAAGGTCTTTCAGGCATTATCACCAAGTAGGGGCCCATAGGCATAGAAGAAACTCCCAACCAGAGGGGCCACCAAAGACCAGAAGGTAAGGGGGACCCAGAAGACTGGGACGCCAGTACCTGAGCCATGAGCCCCACTACGGGACCCTGGGCAAGTCACTTCCTGCTCTAGCTTCTCGTTTTCCTATCACAGAAACGGGCACACTCGTTCCCACGGTTGTGATGGAATACAGAATGAATGCGGAAGGGCTAGGACCTGGGTAATAGCCAGGCAGCCACGGGCAGCCAGCATCGCGTCCCTCTTAGAGTCATGGGGAGGGGATGGCAAGAATGACAGCCAGAACTTCATATGGGGGAATGCAGGCTTTGGAGGTACATTCAGCCCTTGCAGAAAAGGGGGATGGGACAGCGGTCAGGAACACAGTAGCATGGTGGTGAATGGCTCTGCTACTATGTGACCCAGCGCAAGTACTTTACTGCTATTCTGAGATGATGCACGTACAACGCCAGAGCAGACGACACGGCCGAAAGCAAACACTCCATAAACAGCTATGGTCACTGCTGTTGCCACGGGCATGGGGCAGGGGAAGGACAGCTTGGACGCACACAAACAGAAGTGCTCACCCAGACAGCCAGCCATGTCCGCTTGGGAACCAGTGGCTGTCACGCCACACAGTGCACACCCATGCCACAAGCCCCAGCTGTCTTCCCAGGACACCCATCCACCATGCTCCCAAAGGGTCCCACAGACCTCGGCACCAGAGTCCGTCCTGGCCCCACAATGACCCCAGGTCACAGCCAGCCTCTCATTTCTTTTTTTTTTTTTTAACATTTTATTTATTTATTTGAGAGAGAGAGAGCATGAGAGGCGAGAAGGTCAGAGGGAGAAGCAGACTCCCCGTGGAGCTGGGGGTCTGATGTGGGACTCGATCCCAGGACTCCAGGATCGTGACCTGAGCTGAAGGCAGTTGCTTAACCAACTGAGCCACCCAGGCATCCCCAGCCACTCATTTCTTAAGGCAAGCCTGGTTTAGCTACTCCCAGGAACGGGATGATCCCTGTGGCCAACTCTTCATTGCAGGGGCCTGGGGGACTCCAAACTGGGGTTCTCTCTGCTTCCTAGCCCAGCATCCACTGCTCAGAGAGACATGGAAACCACCAGCCTTTGGCCAACTCCTCGCTTGCCAGACCCTCCCCGAAGCTCGTTCCACCCACACTCCATTCCCCCTTCTCTTGACCCTCCACATCCGTCCTTCCCCAGAGTACAAACAGAAGGAGAAAGCCACAAAGATAAATGTATACAAACACATGCGTTTTGTAGCCTCTCAGCAGCTGGGAAAAGAGGCTTCCCCCTGCTAAACTGAGGGATGGAGAGTCGTGCTAGGTTTTCACCAGTCCCACGAGAGACAAGGTAGAGACAACTGGTGAGCGTGTGGCCAAAGAGGTACTTTCAAAGTGACCATCTTTAGATCTCATTCACACAGATGGTTCTTAACCCCATGGATGCCGGCAACGAAGACCGTTGAGTCTTCCTATCTAAGAGGTGGGAGGACAGGGGAAAAGAAAAGGAGGGAGGAAATCATAAAGGCCTCCATCAAACTCCCCCCCAACCTGTCCCCTTCCGTGAAGTTCAACACAACAGCACCGTGCAAGGACAGAAATGCCAACCTGAGAATTCACCCGGGGCGGTGATGAGGGAGTTGGTGGCCTCCGTTTCAGTGTAAGACAATGTGGAATCAGATAGATCTACGGAGGAAAGAGAAAGACAACTTAGTTGGCTGTGGGGGCAGTCCTCTCTTTTCTTGTGTGTGTGTGTGTGTGTGTGTGTGTGTGTGTAGTGTGCGCGCGCACACATGCGTGTGCACACATAAGTGCTTGCAAAGGGCACTGTGTCCCTCCCAGCTTTCTGATGCCACTCTGTAACCTCGTCCCAAGATCACACAAGACCAGGCCAGCCAGCCCTGGAACTCCTCTGGAAAATGCTGACTCTTACAGCCTTGGCACCTGAAAAGTCTCAACTACTCTGACCACAGAAATAACCCAAGTTCAGGGGACTAAGCAAGTAGTAACTTGGAGCCTCCGTGGGTAAGGTTAAATTAAGCCCCTAAACAATTCATAGTTGCTGCGCTTAATTACCACCATTAAAATTCTTAAAGTTGTTCCTTCTTGCTTCCTTCCTTCCTTCCTTCCTTCCTCGCTGGAGCTGGGGAAGCTCTGTTTTAACAAGTTACCAGCCACCCTCACTCTGTCCCACTTGTACCCCTCTAATTAACGGCTCAAGCATTTGCTCCCAGATTAACTTTTTTTTTCCCTCTTCCCTCCTCCACTCCTTAACATCCAGACCTGCTCACAGAGCAACTTGCAATGCCTGGACTGGTTTTTTGCTTTTTTTTTTAAGGCATTCTTTTTTTTTTTTTTTTTTTTTTTTTTTTTAAGTAATTTCAAGTACTTCATATGGTTCATATGGCTTGTGTTATTTGTTTTCCCCTGTCTGTGCAGTGAGTGAGATGGGGAAAGGAAAATCTTTTGCACATTTTCTCTGGAATACTGAGCTGCTACCCAGACAAGCCCATGCCTTTTTGGGCAGGCGGACTCGCAACATTTTTCCTCTGCTCCCAGCCATGAGGTGTTGCCCGTGTGAAGGAGTCATAAGGCATGTTCTGGGAGGCTGACAGCTCGTCACCTTCTTACCCAGCTCGACCCAGGTCTGGCTCAGCTGGTCCCACCTGGCTCAGGAGAACCACTCCAAGCTGGGGATTCCTGGCACAGAAACCGTTAGCCAAGGCTCTGGCGAGCTAGAATTCCATTCAATCCTGTAGGACTTTTTTTCTTTTTTCTCCTTTTACCACAAGGTTTGAGGAACGGGAAGATGAAACATTAACGAACTGAGGTTTTTGTTTTGTTTTTGTTTTTTGTTTCCCCACTTGCCAGATGCTGACTGGGTGTTCTGGGTTTTATTTTGGGTGGGTTGTTTTTTTTTGTTTTTTTTTTTGTTTTGTCTCATGTGATCACAGAGGCTTAGAAGTGAACTGACTTTTTGTTTATGAAAAAGCAACAATGCAAGGAAAAGAAAATAATACCAAAAAATAGCTCAGACTGTTTATCAGGGCACGAGAAAGTTATCTGCTAGTAAAACGTGTTAGGAGGGAAATAAGGACAGATGGAAAATCTCTTTAAAATAAAAATAATACCCGCAATGTCCAAGTGGGAACTTCTTAAAGAGGGTTTTGCTTTTCATAGCTAACGGTCCCACAGTGTTCAGCACCCTGAATCTTGCTGCCTCTTCCTGTCTGAAGTAACAACATCGCAGGCTGAACCTTACTTCCAAGGGAGCCGCTAGAAAGCCCACGGGGCCAGTTTTGTGAGCGAGGGTCCCAGAAGTAGGACCGTCCTATTGTGCCTTCTTCCAAAGCCTCCCGTTTACTGCTTCTTATGACCCCTGACATTGGAAGCAGGGCAGTGGCTGGTGGAGAAAAAGAACACTTCCAACCTTGATCACGGCTCAAGCGCCACGGAGAGACCCTGCCTGGAAGCTGGGGCCACAGGTTTGAGTCCCACCTCCACCACCAGTCGTAAAAATCAGGGCTCATCAACTTTTTCTGCAAAGGACCCCCATTGTAAATAGAACTCTCAGCCTTGCAAGCCACAGGATCTCTGTTACAGCGACTCAACCGTGTCGTCGGAAGCAGCCAGAAACAGTGTGGGAACGGGGGAACATGGCCATGTTCCCACAGGCCTATTAGTACGGATGCTAGACTTTGAATTTCCTATCATCTTCACATACAAGGAAATAGTATTCTTTTGACTTTTTTTTTTTTAAGCATCTAAAAAAGTGCAAACCATCCTTAGCTCACGAGCCGTACAAAAACAGATGGCGGGCCGTAGTCTGCAGACTCCTGAGCTGTGTGACTACCAGCGAGTGTCACTTCCTCTTTCTAGGCCTCAGTTGTCCCATTTGTAAAATAACCGAGACACCTGTTGATTTCCAAATGGCCGCTCAGCAGGGCCAGGCGCAGTCCTGATTTCTGCTGCTTTATCACAGGCTGACCCGCAATTCCTCAGGGCAATGATCCTTGACTTTCAAACAGAGAGGCTACATTTACTGAGAACATTTGGGTTTGGTTTTTTTTGTTTTTTTTTTCTTCCTCTAATGGAACTAGGGATCTTCTAAGCGACTAGTGCAATTATGTTGACTTGGGAAATGCTGAGACAGGCCCGTGAGGGAGGGATGGGGAACGGCCAAACCGAACAGGGGGCTGCTAGTGGGTTTCCGCCTCAGCCCTGCTGCTCATTAGCTGGGGGGGGCCCTCTCCATCCCTCAGCCAGATTCCTCATCTGCAAAGTGACTGGGTCCCACCAGATGACCTCTTCAGGTCCCCGGAGAACTAAATAAAGCTCCTCCCTCCACGGGATGACCAGACGTGGAGAGAAACAATGAGAAAGCTGCCATCATTAAACCACTGACTCACACACCGTCATGGGACAGCCTCTGTCCCTCTCAACGGAAGAGGTCATACTCCTGAAGGGACCTGGTGGGCACCTCTGACTTTCGAGGGGGGCCTGGAAAGCAAACTGGCCCGGATGCCTGAAAGTCTGGGACACTTCGAAGTGACCTCCCTGATGATGCTGACACAGGCTACTGGGAAGAGGTCTTTACCGAAAACAAAACAAAACCCACTTCTTGTGGTCACTTGGTGGAATGTATGAGCATCCCTGCCATGCTAGCTGACTTCGATAGCCTGGATCCCACGGGAACGGCCTGGATCACAGAGTCCCTCTCCTGATACTGGTAAAGCCAAATTCATGGGCCCCACCCCTAGGATCCTCCAGGGGAGGGTACGGCAGGGCCAGAAAACAAGCCATTGCTGCTTTCAAAACCACATGCCTCTACTCCAGGATCTGAGCTGCCCATCTAGCCCCAAGGTTTTCCAGAAAACCCATTCTGCCTCCAAATGGGACCCGCCTAAAACGATGGATGACCACCTCCACTGAGCATGCGAACAAGACTGCACACAGGTTTCTCCACAGTCCAACTCTTGTTTCTGCCCAGGTGAACTTCTTGGCTTAACCGGGGGCGGTGGGGGCGAGCACGCCACTCCCCTCCAGGTGACTTCTGCTCTCCTATCTGTCATAGTGCTAATTACCACAGGCTCAAAGGAGAGCAACCAAGGACTGGGGGAGGGAGAGAGGAAAAGGAAGAAAACCCAACCCATCTCCAGTGAGGTACTTAAGCCAAAACCCATTCATCTCCCACAGGCCCGTGTTTAAAGGTCACAGAGAGGTTAATGATGAGCGGAGGAATTTCAAGATGTAAATAGTCCGCTATAGACCCCGAGTCTCCTTTGGCCCAACTGTAGGTGTGTTTGTAAAACTTCGTCCCATCCTCCCGTCGCAAAGGCAGCCAGGCCTGCTTTCCCAGCCCTCCCCTCCAGCCCTACTGCACTGAGGCTGGGCCCCCCCAGACCGGAAGGGAGCTGGGTGGGAAGGAGCACACACTTACCCAGTGGCTTGTACTCGTCGCGGGGAGACAGCCGAGAATAGGGGGGTGGTGGTGATTCTGGAAGACAGGAGACACGACACGTCAAGGCTGGGGCAGGGGAGGTCACACCTGGGGGTTTGACCTGCTTTTGATTATCGGTGTCCTCAAATACTCAGCCCAGCCCCCAGGAAACTCTCTTCTCCCAGCATGTCTCTTACCCAACAGGTAAGGCTTTTAGGCTTGGGGTACAGACCCAGATTCAAGCCCTCATTGGTTCCCTTTGGCCCTTTTGGCTGTATGACCTCAAGCAAGTTCCTTCACCTCTGGGAGCCTATCTCCTCAGCTCTAGAATAGGGTTAATAATCATAAAGACCTGCCAGGTTCGCTAGGAGGGAAAACACAGATAATATATGTAAAATAGCTCTTGGTCCTCTGGAAAAGTACCTGTACAAACACTGCTGTCATGATAACAAGTGACACACGAGTGCAGGGAAAGTCAGAGCTGGGGTTGCCTAAGAAAACACGGGATATATGCGGCATCATTTTTAGTATACGTATGTCCCTTGCACTATTAGGGACATACATATGCTAAATAATTATGTGCTGTGTGTTTGGGTTTTTTTAATCAGAAATTCAAATTCAGCTAGGCATTCTGTCCTTTTATTGCTAAATTTGGCAACTCTAATCAGAACTGAGCATGAGAGACACGGACGCTCCTTCCCAAATAAGCTGCATTACAACTGACATTCTTTGGGGCAGACAGAAGGGCAAGATAGGCTAGAAGCCAGGAAGGAAACCCAGCTTCCCAGATGGGAGACCTTAAGCCAGTCACTTCGAGCTAGCTCTCAGCCTCAGTCTCCCCCTTTGTAAAGAGAAGGGGCGGACCCCAAGCTCTCCGTGGCCTCCCAGCTCAGACCCTCTGTGATTCCTTATTGTCTACGGTATTTTTCTTTTGGTTTCCTTTCATTTGCCTAAAATAATCCTCCTTAAAAACATATATTTTGTCTTCAGAAGAATTCCTTAGCCTCTTGCTTTAGGGGAAGTAACAATTTGCTAAACTAAGTAACAATTTGCATCAATGAAATGACCCTTCATTTTCCCTAAATGAAACTAAACACCATCAAATCGCAAACTAAAACAAACTCTCAGTGGTAGTAAAGCAGTAATAACTATTATTAGGCCGGTATCAGTAATGACACAAGGGGTAATAAGTGTTTTTCGCAATTATAATAAGGCACAATTAGTTGTAGGAGCATTTGGTTTGCTCCGTACGCCCAGTGCAGCTTCCCTTCTTCCCCACCCAGCTTTTCCATCCTGAAATTACTTCAACAAAGTCAAGGCTCTGAAGTCTAGAAACAGGGACTCTTTTGTGGACCAGAGTTTGGGAGAAGGAAAAGTGAATCATGGAAGAGCCACTGGGACCGAGGCAAACATTTGCTGAATGCCCACCCTGTGTCTTTCTCCATGCCAGGCATTTTCAACTTCATTTATTGTAAGTAGTATCATTCTTTTGGATCTTAGGTATAGTGTGGTTAATCACGCTTCTGGGTGCCTACTCGTTTTTCTCAAAAATAAGTTAGGATGGCCGTTGTCATTCCCATTTTACAGATGAGAAGACTGACTTGCCCAGGGTCCCCTCCAGCCAATCATGATGAAACTGGAATGTGGACCCAGGCCCTGACTTGACTCTACATCCCAAGGACATAGGGAACAAGAGGCACCCCCGTATTACACTCGTTCATCCCAGTCATCCGTCCATCACGTGCACAGAAAGTGCTTGGTCAACATGTACAGACAAAGACAATGGTAATCAGGATAATGGAGAAGTTGGGGCCTCTGCAGACACAGGTGCGGAGAATGAGGACTTAGAGGCTGAAAAGGGTGACCCAAAGGAGCCCCCAACAAGGCTCCAGGAAGGCAACAATTTGCCTTCAGTAGCAGCCACTTACTTGATCCACTGGTCCTCAAGACTTGGAGGGGCTAGAAACCAGACCTGAGTGAAGACCAGCCTTTCAGGACAAGAGGCAAAATGCAAGGAGGCCTAAAGCTCCACAGGGAAAGAGAATTGAGGCAGGCGCTCCCACCCATACAGTGATCACGGAGGCCTGACAGGAGGAGGTGACCCCCCCACCCCCCGCCCAGGGCCACACAGCAAACTGACAGTAGAGCCAAAGCCACAGCCAGAAGCTAGGTCTCCTGATCCCTGGTCTCACGCCCTGTCCACTCCCCCACTCACTTACTGGAAGGCCTGTAATTCTTGTGTTAGGGTTCCCTTTGCAAAAATCTGATTGGCTGAGGCTCAGGCCACACACGGTGGGGCGCTCTGGTCAACTGCCCTCCTGGATCTGTCCCCCCAGAGTGAAACTTGGCAGCAATGGGCAGTGGTGGCTGGAGTCAAGCCATTGTCATCAACCCCACCATTTCTCCCAGGGGCTGTTTATCTGAGACCCAAAACATGGAGGGGAAGAAAGGGTATAGAGAAGGTGGCTTCCGAGATTCCCGCCACCCACGGCCCCTCCCGATCTGGGTGTCTCCAAATGTGAGTAAGGCAGAAAGCAAATCTGTAAATTAGAAATGTCCCTCACACCAGCTCGTGAGAACTGCAAAGCTTTTAGGAGGGACTTGACCAGGCCCCCGTTTGGTCCAGCAAAATGGTTTGCACAGAACTGCTGAACAACTTCAGAGGCTGAGAGCTGAGCGCTAAATTCCATCCTGGGCAAAAAGTAGGAAGCCCTACAAACTCCACCCCAAGACCCAGAGATTTACAACGTCACGTGTTCACCCAGCTCAACTGCTCCTTTTAACTGGTTGGGCCAGCTGAGGTCCAGCCAGGTACAGGACCTGTCCAAGGCCACATCCGAAGGCAGGAGATGTTATTTTATTTCTCTGAAACAAAGCAGGAGGCCATGTGGGAACCGATTCTGAATTACCTTTTCTCCAACAACTGAGTTCTCATTCACATACCGAGGTTCACTCTTTTAAAGTGTACAATTCAGTGGTTTTTTAGTATACTGAGAGTTGTGAGACCAACACCACCATGTAATTACTGGACATTTTCCTCATCCCAAAGAAGCCCTGTCCTGTTAGCCATCGGTCCCTACCCCCTCAACCCCCAAACCCTAGGCCACCATAAATCTACTTTCAGTCCCTATGGATGTGCTTATCCTGGACAATTCCCACGAATAGGTTCACATAATATGCGGCCCTTTGTGTCTGGCTTCTTTCCCTCGGCACAATGCTTTCCAGGCTCACAGTGCAACAGCATCGATGGAACATTTTTATGGCTGAATGATACTCCGCTGTATGGATATACCACGTCTGGTTAGCCATTCCTCAGCTAATGGACATTTGGACTTTCTCCATTTTTTGCCTATTAGGAATAATGTTGCTGCGTACAGTCCTGGGGGACCTTTAACTGGCATCTCCACTTCACTCCCACGCCTCCCGCTCCCGCTGATCTGGGGGATCTGGGCGAGGGGAGCCCCAGGTCATTAACTCAGGTGGGAGACAAAAGGTCAGAAGGCCAAGTGTGGGCTGCCTCCAGGCCCTCCATCCAGTCCCCTTTTAGGAGCTACCTTAAGGCTTCCAAAAGTCATACTGATTTTTCAGTAATAACTTAAGGTGCTCTAAACTCGAAGGGGAGAGCGCCTAGAACCCTTGGGGGCCCTCTGAAAGAACTGGATGAGAGAGAGAGAGAGAGAGAGAGAGATCAGACACTCCAGCCTCAGGCATCAACTTCAGGAATCTCCTCCAACTTCCTTCAGAAGTTCAAGAGCAGTCAGCCAGGGGCCGAGGGTACCAGAAGGTTAGTGCTCAGCTCAGCCCAGTGCAGACGGGCCTCTGGTTAGCCCCCAGGGGGTACTTAACCTTCTGGGATCTAGATCCTAATTCTAAAGCCAGAAGAGCTCCCAGCCTCTCCCAGAGCCTGGTAAGGTTTCAGTTTGGGACAAAGCCTTCCACCCCTGCTCTGCAGCCCAGCATCTCCCTTAGGAAAGGATCCACATGACGCCCTGGGCCTCCCAGTTGCCCCCCTCCCAGGGGTGGCTGTGGGTGGGGAGGGGGCCTCCCAAGCACCAGTCCCCTCCACCCCCAGAACCTGAAGGCTCAAGCCCAAGCCGGGGATGGGAGCCTCAAAAAAAGGAGCTCCTGGCGCTTTAAGGCCAGCGGAGCCTAATTGCCCAGATTCCCCCCCGGCAGCCAGATAAACAGCACGGCCGGCTGGCGCCAGCAAGAGGCAAACAGCACATTATCACCCCTTCCTCACCTCCAAGGAGGAGCTCTGAGGAGTAGGGCGGGCAGGCCGAGGGGCCGCCAGAGGGGCGGGGCAGGGGCTTGGAAGCCCAACTTGAAATTGATCTCATTTCAAAGGGATAATGCCAGGCCAAATAAAAGGAAAACTTTTTAGCCCATTCTAATTCCTATAGTCCTGGCCTGGGAGCCCTGTGTTTTCCTAGGCGGCCTCCTCCAGTCGCTCAGAAGTTCGCTCTCGCTCTCTTTCCCTGGCGCAATTTGGATAATAGTAATTTACTGAATATAATTACAGAAAAAAAAAAGTGGTGGAGCAAAGAGCAGGAGATTTATTCCAAAGTTAATGGATACTTTCAGGAGAAAGGAGCTGTATAAACACAGGTTAGAACTGTGATTAAAGTATTTCTCCACATTTCCGTCCACATAGGCACCCAGCTCAGCGAACTGGCTTTTCCCGGGACAGAAAGACACACAAGAGGGAAGGGCAGCTGGGGCCTGACTCCCACAGGGATGGAGGTGCAGGACAGAGCCCCACAAGGAGGGAGGACCCCCACTTTCTGAGACAAGCATAGGGGAGAGGGTAGGGGAGGAGGCCTGGGTCGCCTGGAATCTGCCCATCAGACTCCAGGATTCTGCCCACGGTCTCATTTTACACCGTGTGAAAAGAGGTCCAAAGAGGGGAACTGGCCCCAGGGTCCCAGAGCAAGCTGATGGATGGGATCAGAGTTTGCTCTGAGCAGAAGGAGTCAGCACTGCCCAGAAAGGGGCCTCCTGGCCACCTGGGCTCCCTGTGGGGGTCAGGTGGGCACTGGGGCAACTGGTGGGTGCCCCTCAGTTGGCCTGCTGAGTATGCTGCTGTATTCTCCAGCTATGTGCCTGCTCTCCCCAAGTGTGTCTGTCTGTCCATCTGTCTTGTCTGTCTGCCTGCCCGCCCGCTCCACTGCCCCAGCCCTCTTCCCCCAGAGCCCTGGAAGGAGCAGTCTCCTTATCAGGATGCGCACCGCTGAGCTCCAGCTATGTACCCGCCCAGTTCTAGGAGCCAGGCTGGCGGCCAGGCAGCAGGGGTGGAGTGGGCAGCAAAGGGCTCCCCAGTTCTCAGTCCCAGCGGCCCACACCATCGGGCAGGGGAGGAAGCAAGAGGGTCAACCTGGCACCTCCTGAAAACTCTTCCCAGATGATCGGTCCTCCCACCTACCCCCAGGGTGGCCTCAATGGGGAGAGGGGAGAGGGCTGGCAAAGAGACAGGGAACAGACACCAGGCTCCTGTAACAGTGCCTCCTTTGGGGAGGAGGGAGGGAGTCAAGTGCCAGTGCTCAGGCTAAGAATCAGATATGGAGAATTGTTCCTAGAGCCTCCCAAGAACTAATAGGGAGACTGTGAGGGCAGATTACTCATCCAAGGTCAAGCTTACTAAAGACCCTGGGACCAGGGCTATGGGGAAGAACTGCTCCACTACAGCTTGCCCCTCAACCTGTACCCCGCCCCCAAGTTGGCCAAACTCAAACCACCACCTAAGTTGGCATCTAAGCTAGGGAGAGAGGGGTGTGCATCCCTTCTGGCTCTCACACACCTGAGCAGACCAGGCACCTTGACTCTCAGCAGGCCCTCTCCTCCTCCTCTCTGCCCACCTCCCCGACCCACCCTCCAAGGCTGTCTCCAGACAGAACTATGGAGCTCCAGGAGGGGATCCTGTTAACCTCCACATCCCACAGCGCTCAGAGAGTTCAGACCTAAAGACCTGGCCCTTCTTCCCCCATCTCTGACCCATCTCCCAGGGGAAGACTGTTTCTCGAGGGCACCCTACTCATATTTCTACTCTCTCTCCTATACAGCACCCAGCACCATGCCTGGCACACAGTAAGTGCTCAACATGTATCTGTGGGGACACTGACTTGGTAAGAGAGAAAGTAAGCTGCCAGGGCCTGCTGAAAGCACAAAGTGGGCCCCACCAATTACCTCCCATGCACCAAAAATGACCGGCGACAGGGCAACCACCAACAGCGACCCTTGCCCCAGAGTGAGGGAGGAGATGGGGTACCATACAAGAGGAAGCCACTTCCAGGAGAAGCTGTCCCGAAGAGGAACAAGGAGCACAGAAAGACTCCCATGGGCCACAGGTCAGGTACTGCCAAAAGCCCTTGAGTCAGGCCTGGAGTGACCATGCAGGGTTCAGGGCAGCCAGATCCATGGTGCTTCTCCCCAACCTCCCCCCATCCCCCAATCAGTGCTCTCTCTTCAGGAACCACCAAGACAGCTACACCTGCCTTTCCCCCCAGCTACCACCCACACGTGAACAAGACATCTGGGACAAATCCTGGGCCCACAGTCCCCTTCCACACTGGGAGTCTGGAGATCTGTGATCTGACCCACTGTGTGCCCCCCAGGCTGGATGCTGACTCTCCAGAGGGGACATAGGCTGGAGGAGCTCAGAGCCTACCCAGGCCCAACAGCCTTCAATCTTCTATTAGTCCCACCCCCACAGAATCCCCAATGCCACTGAATGCTCACGCCCCTAAGATGCTATGGGCTGAAATGTGTGAGCCATGCACTGCAGAGGTCAGAGTGGGGTGGGGGGGAGCCTCCGGCTGTCCTCACCTCTGCTCCAGAACCCAGGGCCTGCTCAGTAAGCAGGGCTGGGGGTGGGGTGTGTGCGGGAAATCCCAGGAAGAGAACAAAGAAGGGAGGCAGGTCTCAGAGGTAAATAAATTATCTGGCTTCCTTGCTTCCTCCACCTGCGGTCGCCTCCAGGACCCTCAACTCTAGAAAAACTGTACACAGAACTGACAATGATGACTACCACCGGGTGTGTGCGTGTGTGTGTGTGTGTGTGTGTGTGTGTGTGTGTGTGCTGATATTTGACACCCAAGGGATGCTGGCAGCAATCAGGGCAAGAAGGTGATCTCCACCTGGAGACAGCTTTGCTCCAAATTGTACAAAGGAACCAATGTGCCCATTTATGAACACTTCTGACTCTAGACATGAATTGTCTACGCCCAATTTCACAACTTGTATCTACCTGGATATAGGGAAATACAGCATAGGGATAAGCATATGCACACAAACGCTACAGGCCTGGGCACGGACTGAGGGTAAAATGAAGAGGGGGGGACTGGACGACACTTGTGTTTCTCCTAGGCCTGCCCTCCTCTTTCACCGTCTATGAAGCTGTAGCCTACATTAGGTCCCTGAAGCTGCAGAGAAACTCCAATGCCACCCTTTCGAGTTTTCCCAAGTCTTAAAAAGGTGCCATTTGACACGTGTGCCACTTCTCGGGCTGTCCTGCCCGGCGAGGCGCCTCCACCCGGGGCTCCCACGCTCCAGGGGCACCCGCGCGGGTGCAGCCGCAGCTCCACCCGCCCGCGGGCCCGCGGTGTTCCGGCCCAAAAAGGCCTCGGAAAGGGGCGGGAAGGGGAACCCCCAGCCCCCACCGGCGCGCGCGCGCTCACCTGGCCCGCAGAGCCGGCTGAAGTGGTAGGGGTTGCAGCACACGGTGGGGCCGTCGGCGGCGGCGGCGAAGCTGTGGCAGCCGCATAGGGGCTTCAGCTCCACAGCGTGCTGCAGGTCGGGCCAGCGGAAGAGGCGGCCGAGCAGCAGCTGCGGCGGCGCGGGCTGGCCGCCCAGGCGGAGGTCGGCGCGCGGCACCAGCACGCAGCCACCCGGCACGCCGCCGCGGGACTCCACCGCCTCCAGCAGCGTGTCCAGCGAGCGCTCCTTGAGCCGCTTCAGCAGCGAGTACGTGACCGTCTTGAGTTCCTGCTCGAGCAGCAGCAGCCGCGAGCGGGCTTCGCGACTCCGCCCGCCGCCCGCCGCCTCCAGGGCCGCCCCGGCCAGAGGGTCGCCGGCGTCCCGCGGCGCGCCCGCGGCGTCCCGCTCCGAGAAGAGACAGCAAGTCACCGTCTCGCAGTCACTTTCGGGCAGCCAGCCTGGGCCTCCCGGCTCCGCCACGTCCAGCGAGGAGCCCCCAGCGCCGGCCCCCGGCTCCGACATGGGCCTCGGGGGGCCCCCTGCGCGCCGGCGCCTCCCCGCGCCCTGGGCGCCTCGCTGTCCCACCGCGTCCCGGGGCCGCCGCGGGGCTACCGGGCGGACTTCGGAGCGGCCGCAGCCTCCGCCTTCTCGTGCCCGCGGGGCCGGCTCAGCTCGGCTGCCCCAGCTCCCATCCTCGTCGTCGCCGCCGCCGCCGCCGCCGCCGCCTTCCTCCCGGTCGGGGACCACACGACTTCGCCAAAGTCGCCGCACCAGCCCCGAGCGTTTGGACCTGAACATACGATATCCTTTGGCGCCGGGGGTGGGAGGGAGGCGGTCTCCGGTTACCGGGGGTCCGTTCCCTCAGCGAGGCGCCGGCTGCGCGGGCCGCAGCCCCACATGAAGCTCCGCCGCACGGCGCCGTGCAGATTGCGCACAGCCTGTCGTCGAAGGGGCGCCGCGGGGCTGCAACATGAGGGAGCTCGCCGGGCCGGGACGGCGGGGAGCAGGCGCGCGCCGAGCCGCAGTCCGCGCGGGGCCAGCGGCTACATGGACCCCGGCGGCCCGGCTACTCAGCAACTCCAGCCCCGGCGCTGGAGGGGGACTGCAGGCGGCGCCGCGCCAGAAAGACCCCGCATGGGCCGGCGAGCCTTCAAAAGTTGCGCGTTTGGTCCATGAGCACAAAGCGCTCGCGCCGAACCCTCCAGATGTGTCGGGGGAAGCCCTGCCTTTAAAACCCAAGCGCTTAACTACATGGGCTTTTCCTGCAGGATCCGAAAGGCAGGCTTGTTGATACCCTCAGCTTCCTTCTTACTCCCTGCAAAAAGGAAAAAAAAAAAAAAGGAAAGAAAGAAAAAGAACCCCAAACAAAACCAAAATCCTGGAATTGCATGCACGAGAAGCCAACTCCGTCTCAGGTCCCAGGCGCTAGATGCACTTGGAGCAAGTTTCTCCAGAAGGCGGGTGTCAACACTTGAGTGGAAACTGTAAAAATCCCAAGAGCTGTTGGGAATCCTTAATTAAAAATGCAATCCACCGAGGCAGATGTCGCAGCCCGCCCCACGCTGCGCTCGGACGCCCGGGGCGCCGCGGCTGCAGAGGTCGTCCCCCTCCCCCCTCCACAAAAAGTGCCTCCCGGTGGCCCCGCGGTCCCTGCGAGGTCTGGCGAGGCAGCGCCCGGCGGCTCTTTCTCTCGGCTCGGCTCCCTCGCTCGCTCCCCCGCTCGGCTCTCTCTCTTTTTTGTTCTCCTCAAACGCACACTGAGGGCCCCCGGAGGAGCGCCGCGGAGTCATTGGCTGCCTCCCATCATATGCCAGTCTAGACACTTTGGCGGCTCCGCGGCGCTGATTGTTGCGCAAACAAGGTTTCAAGTTTCTTAACTCTTAAAGGAGAACACGTCCCATTGCAGGGCCCGAGGCTCCGAGGGGCCGGCTCCCGGGGCGGGCCGAGCCCGGGCTCCCGCCCCACGCTCGCCCCGGCACCCCCGCCCTGAGCCTGACAGCGCCCACGGCCCGCTTTCTGGCCCGCGTTGCGCGGCGGGCACGGATGCGAGCGAGCAAACGCACACGCCCGCGCGCGCGCACACACACACACACGCGAGTTACACAAACCAGGGGTGAGCGGCGCGAGGGCTCGGTGGACCCACTGAGACTTGTATGCAAACGGGGCGCTTTGCCTCTCCCTGGCTTGTGCACAAACTTGCAAACACACATTGCACTTTCGAGTTGGTCCAAACCCCCATCCCAGGGAAGGCTAATAAATATGGGTGTGCGTGTGTGCCTTCCCGGCTCCAGTCCCTTGGGAGCAGGGGGGCGGCTGATTTGTTGGGGTAGTGGGATCTTCCGCGATGGCTCAAGGTCTCCACACCCGCTGCGCAGTCGGGGGTCGCTCTGCTGGGCCAAACGGGGGGCGTGGGACGCTTGGCGCACCGGGGCTCCAGGCTTGCGCGAGGTAGGGAGTTGCAGGGAATGGGGTTGAGGCGGGGAGTGTCCCCTCTCCGGCTCTTCACGGTCGCCACGGCCCTCCCTCGGAGCTAGGCGGACCGCCAGGCGTCCCGGGCCCCCTCGAGGCCGGGTGCTTCCTCCTCCCCTTTCCCCAACTGACTCTGTACACCACCGAGAGGAATGTGGGTAGGGGTCGTGCTTTCCCCAAGGAAATGGGGGTGGGTGGGGGGCAGGGTCCCGCCCCGCCGGGCCCCGGGCTGGCTGGGGGGGGCGCGGCGGTAGCAGCGAGCCTCCCGGCGCGGGAAGGGTTAACGCCGCTCCTGCCCCTGGAGCCGGCGCGGCGGGGTACCTCCTCGGGCGCGCTAGCTTGTCCGAGGGTGGCAAAAGTTCAAGCTTGTAAAGTCGGGATTGGTCCCGCGCGGAGGGAAAAAAGGCCTGGTTTCCCCCTCCCCCCCCGGGCGCGGCGCCGATTGGTCCGGTCTTGGGGCGGGCACCGCCCTCTCCCCGGCGCGCGGCGGCCCGGCCCCCGGCACGACGCCCCGCCCCTTTCCGGGCGGGAGCCCGGCCCCGCACTGAATGAAAGAAATTCCGCTACTCTCATTGGCCCGGGGCTGGGCGCCATTCCCCCGCGGGGTCCCCGCGCGCAGGTCTCCCCCAGGGGTGCCCACGTGTGGGGCTGGCCCCGTGTGGGGCTGGCCCTTTGAGTGTGCGGCTCTGCAAGTACCCCTCGGGGCCGCGAGTCTGCGTGAGCGCTGGGGGAAGGGCGGTACATTCAGGAAGAACTCAGAACCATTTGCTTTTACCTGGAGCCAGGTACTGCTGGCGCCGTGCTCTCCCGGAGAGTTGGTGGTTCTCTCGAAAGGAGCTTCCTCATCCCCATCCCCTGCTGCTTTGGCCAAATCAAAATCGCTGTCAGCTTCTTGTTTGAAAAATGGAGATGACGATCTTCGCAGCACCGTGAAGATCCTAGGAGATACTGCATTTTAAGCGCACAAAGCCAAGTGAACAGCAAGATGAAATTTCCCAAGTGAATACAACACTTGCGTAACCAGCGCCCAGAAGCCCCTCTCGTGGTCCCTTTCAGTCATTTCTCGCCCCTGGTGGGAGGTGGGGGGGCGGAATACAAAAAGAAACTCAATGCAATATAAAATATTTCCTTTTATCGGGGTAGTTGCTGGTTTGGCTGTGGATTGCAGTAACAATAGTTCGTGCTTAATGACTCCTTAGTACTGGCAAGGCAATGGTTTCAGGCATGGTAAGGATTCAGTCATTGAATTCCCGGAACAACCCTCATAGGTTCTATTACTATTTCCATTTTACAGATGAGGAAACTGAGGTGCAGGAACTTGCCATTCAATTTGCCACTGACATGAAGATAGTGTTGAGAGTGCCTAAACCAGTATGTATGCTCACCCTCAACCACTAGAAAGTAGTATGTGGGTCTGTGTTGCCAGAACACACCCTTCCAGGGCAGTGACTTTCCAAATGTGGTCTACTGGACCTGCTGAATCAAAGTATGATGGGGTGACACACCACAGGCCACTTTACACGTTGGGGGTAGATATAGTTGTTACCATTACTTTACAGATAAGGACACTAAGGCACAGAGGCTTTAACTGGCACAAGCTTTTAGATAGTTGCAGAGGCGGGATTTGAACCCAGCCAGTTGGGGGGGCGGGTTGCAGGTATGTGGGAAGCAATGGTCATGGGGCAGCAGACTGGAGATGGGTTACCATCCTATGGATGGCTACCTTCTTCTCTGGGCAATAACTCAAAGTCTGGCTTCTGCTCTTGCTCAGGCAGAGCTGTGACATTAGGGGTGGGGTGCCATTAGGCACCTGCTGGATGCCATGTGAGGAGCACTGAAACCAGAGTCTGGGAGGCCCGAGTTTAGTACTGACCTTCCTAAACCTCCCTCAGCTTTATGAGCCTCTGGGTCCTCGTCTATAAAAATGGAAATAAGAATCATGTTTGAGGGGTGCCTGGGTGGCTCAGTGGGTTAAAGCCTCTGCCTTCGGCTCAGGTCGTGGTCCCAGGGTCCTGGGATCAAGCCCCGCATCCAGCTCTCTGCTCGGCAGGGAGCCTGCTTCCTCCTTTCTCTCTCTGCCTGCCTCTCTGCCTACTTGTGATCTCTGTCTGTCAAATAAATAAAATTTTTTTTAAAAATCATGTTTGAGGCTGTTACCAAAATTAAATGACATGAGGACCCAGAGTCATTACAGGAAGATGCTTGTTAGCAGAGAGAGTATCAGGAAGGGAAGGGCAATGACAGTTCCACTGTCCTTGGAATCCCAGGGCCCATCCCACCTAGCCGCCGCCTGCACTATAACCACTAGAGGGTGTGTGAGAGCCCGGTAGGGCAGGGCCTATGAGCTAGGGCCTAAGGGTACGGTCCTAGACTGCCCTCTGGAACACAAGCTCCAGTTCCCTGGGGATGTAGGAGGGGAGGAGAGTGGGGTCCCAGCTGCCGCTCCTCAGGTCTCTGAAGCCATATTTCTCAGAAAGCACCTCACAAAGAACGAATCCTAACCTGTCAGAGTCCAATCTGATCCCTGCCCATTATTCCAGTGTTTTCCGGAAGCACCGTGTGCTTCTCTTTACAGTGCTGCTCACAATTCATAACCACACAATTCTGTGTCCATTCTCCTCTGTTTCTGGAATGGAAGTCCCACGTGGAGAGAGACGGTGATACCATGAAGCCACCCGCAGCAGCACCGAGGGAGGGGAGTCAGACCCTGTGCCATCAACAAAGGTCATTTGAGACCACCCTGTGCCATCAACAAAGGTCATTCATGCAAGACAGCTCCTGCCCCATTCCTTCTCTCCAGTCCCTAGCCCAACACCTGGCACATAGCAGGCACTCAGTAAGAATCTGGGAGATGGCTGAATTCAAACCTCTCACTTTGCCAAGCTTTGAGTGTAACATCCTGTGCCAAACATTTATATGCACTATCTCATCAAGTCCCCCTTCCCCCACAACATAAGACAGTGAAGAAGTTATCATTCTTACTAGACCTGTTTTGTATAGAAGGAAACAGAGAGCTTGAGTAATTTGTCTCTGGTCACCCAGCCCATAAGTGGCAGAGTTGGGTTCAGAGTTGAACCCAGGGATGCTGGAGCTGCATCTTCTTAACACGTGGTCCTGGAAAAGGAAACATGGTCCTTTGCCCTTGGGAAGTTTCCATGTTAGCTGGGAAGACACAGGCATGAAACAGCAGAAATCATACAAGGCAGCACCTGCTTCTTGGTGGTGGGAAGAGGCGACTGCTTAAAGGGCTAGGGATCCTGCAATAAACAAAACACAAAATTCCTAAGCTCAAGGAGTCTAGTGGGAGGACAGACCATAAACAAAACAATCAGGTATATGGTGTTTGGAAGGTAAAGGGGGTGAGGTTAAAAATAAGGCAGAGAAAAGGAGAGAGGAATGTCTGGAGAGGGTAGGCATGGTTCAGAGAAAGTGGTCAGGAAATGCTTTCCTGGGAAGGTAACATTTGAACAAAGTCCTGGTAGTGGTGGGGGAACCACTAAGACACTACTGACAAAAGAAAGTTCCAGACACAGAAAGCCACAAGTACAAGGTTCTGGAGGTGGGAATGTGCCTGACGTGTTCCAGGACCATCCGAGAGGTGATAATAGGTGAGAAATACTGGGGGACAGATCGAAGGGTAACACAGGCCATTGTGGGGTCTTTGGCTGGTCCCCTGAGCACCTAGAGCACCCCTGGAGGTTCTGAGAAGTGGGGGGGGCATGTTCTGCCTTGTTTTAGCTGGCTCCCTCTAGTGGCCATGTGAAGATTAGAGTGCAGGGGACAGACCAGGCAGCAGGGACTTGGGGGGTTGTCCCTGGAGAGACCACGCTGGCTTGGGTTGGATCCTGGGCATATTTGAAGACGGAACCAGCATCATTTGCTGTTACAGATCTGAGTATGAAAGAACATCTCTATGGTGAACACATGTTACTAACTCTTATTTGCTTAATTTTTAAAAATCAATTCACTCTTACTTAGCCTTGTTGTAAGCAATAATATCCACGGTGTCCCAATGTGTTAGTTATATTTGTCACTTTAAAGTAAATATATAGGGGCACCTGGGTGGCTCAGTGGGTTAAGCCTCTGCCTTCGGCTCAAGTCATGATCTCAGAATCCTGGGATGGAGCCGCACATCGGGCTCTCTGCTCCGCAGGCAACCTGCTTTCCTCTCCCTCTGCCTGCCTCTCTGCCTACTTATGAAATCTGTCTGTCAAA